CACTGTTCTGCCAAGTGCTGCCTGTTGAGTAACTGCAACAAAGTGCGCATGTTGTGGTATGTAGATATTTGCGCGGATCCGAAGTTCCAAATAGAAACGGATGAACTGACGTTGTCCGCTTGGTCGGACATCGACTTATCGGCCGGAGCGACCCTCTGCGATTGTATGTGATTCGATAGTTGATAATAAATGACTGGAAGAAGTAAGATGGAAGTGGGCCAATTATTGGGGGATAAAAGTTATGTTGGAACGGAAGCATAGCGATGGAAAGGCTTAAGAGGAGGAGGAATAGGATGGGAAGGCTGGAGCAGTAGGACAGTCATCCATATTTACCCTAGTTGATGCATCATTGTTGATTATCCTGTGCCAGAGCGTAAAATGGCTTGAAAAGAAGCTCATTGTATTGCGTAGGCATGATACTGTAAGACTGATCGGGTATGGATAGGGAAACAATGTTTTTAGTTAAAATACTTGCACGGGCTTCACAGATTCCGTATTATAGAACAAGAAGCCACCTTCACTTCAACCCCCAACCTTGGAGGACCAAGAGCTTGAGTTAGTCTGGCCTCTAACCATTCACCAATCTGGTATGAGCGGCTCTGAAGGCGCAAAGCACCACCAAGCGTAGCCCAATGGATCGCTGAAACACGCAAACCATCGCACCACGTTAAGGTCCATGCTCGTCGCGATGAAACAGTTACCGCACACATTGTTTGAGCCGTACGCCTTCCCAAGATTGCGGTCAGTTTGAGGCCAGTTAAGAGAAGTGAGTACAGCCAATGTTATTTTATGTATGGGTGAAAGCAAAAACGGATCGCGTTAGACCTCTGATGTCTGCAAAGCAGTGACCATATGATAGGAGCACCACATTCATGGTACAGACATCAACAGCACACCGGTACGCAGTACCGAGGATTCTATACCGCGCAACCACTGCCAGTCGCACGTGCGAGGGTCACCTGGTCCCTAGATAGGCTCGAACTCGCGCTCTCGGGTTACAAGGCAGGCTTGTGGTCCTTAGAACTACGTGTCGGCCATGAGTGATGTCCTTGGATCTACTATTGGAGCACTAAACAATTCTTTGCACTTAAACCCTATACATTAACTTAGTCTTATCCTTCGTTCGGTTTCTGCGCGTCTACCTAGGCTTTATTCTTTCCGGACACCGAGCCCTTCTAGGTGATGTATCCGAGTCGCCAGTTCATAATATGGCAAGCGCATGTGTGGTAAGTTGACTGAATAGTCTAATCACATTGGCCAATTCCAGAAGCACCATCTAATTCGCTTAGCTGAAAGCTGAGTACAAACACGGAGACATTTAAAAGTATTCATACCTATTTTACGACCGCTTATGGCTATTGTCGACTTGGATAGCACAGCCGAAGTTTGGATAATGACAGTCGAGCGGTGCCGTCCAGCATCGCCAAACGGAACAATAAATGCAGTCAAGTTAATGACCTACGTGAGAGCGCGTGCTCAAGTTTATTTGCTCTTGATTACGAAGAGAGGAGTTGTCTCGGCTGAGGGTTTGAAAGAACAACTCACTGGGCAATACAAGATGATATCCGACAGGATGGTCTCACTTCACACCATCAAAAGTGGAGAGGGTGAATTTCCATCAGAGTCGGCTAAATGCCAAGAACGAGACCGCCAAAGAGCTCGGCTGGTTAACATAAAATAACACCCCTTCACACGTGTTCTGTGGAGAGTTGAGATTGGTGAACGTTCTGTCCGATCACATATGTTGTGCTACAATGATTAGGGTACTACGGCAGACTTATGTAGATCAACATCCTTGGATTCTAAATCCACCACTCGAGCTCAACAGTGCAGGACAACCTAGAACTTCGTCGCCAGTTTGACCGTTGGGATCGTTTGGGTCACTGTTCTATACCGGTTTCAGAATGAAATATGCTTTAGAAACATACTAGGCGCCATCAAGAAACCGTTTAGAGGATCACACTTTCAATGACCTTAGGTAAACCAGAGCAATTTGTGGTGTGAAGTTCTTGTACCGCTCGTGCGGGAACTATCGATTTTGTCAAGCTATTCCGGGGAGATGGAAACTGTTCGCCTTACACTGAACTAACTTTTAAGAGTGATTTCGCTCTTAGGAGGGTAAGGAAGCGAATCGTATCCACAACTCAGGGCTTGCTATATACCGCTTGAGTTGTCACCAATTGAACCCGAAATATTTTTCCGCATCACCAATGAATTTAGGGAATCGGCGTGAACTCACGCCGCTAACTCGTATGCTAGTGCGGACAGACCTCTCGAGTGAGACAACTTGTGCCGAATCATGTCACTTATGAAATCGGTAGCTGTACTTACACCCCCATTAAGCTCCGTATTCGCAATGCCGCTGTTATCATCGATTAGCTCACCCAAGCCACTGGGTAGAGCTCATCTGTGTTGTTGAGGTAGCCGCGACAATCCGGATGGGCGTTCAAAAGTAATTATTTGGAAACGCCCTGGGCACTAATGACGGAAAGCCCACCTAGTACTGGCTATTAACTCTTCGCCTCTGATGAGGCCCCAGTGATTGTAATGGCCCAATTTTCAACTAAAACCGTGGTCCCAAATAAAACAGCATGCATTAATCGGAATACTCCAAAAGCTGAGAACGAACTTCTAACCGCCGTGCCAGGCGTTGCTCGTGGAGCTCAATGGTATAGTGACTAAGGCCACAGCTGTCAAAAACTACGTCCGTGGTTCCATTTAAATTCACGGCTATATATCCCTGAAGAGACCAGTAGTGAAGTGTGGTGCTTGGGGTGAGCAACTGCTATGGGGAACACATATTCCCACAAGCGAAATCGCGTAAAGCTCGGACACTCGAACTCAAACCAGCACCCATGATTCCAACAGCCCCCACATTTAGAAGGATTCACTTTACTCCTCGCAGTCTCAGGAATTACAAGCATACATCTTTCGAAATATTCCGCTTACAGTTGCATTATGCCAATTCACTTACACCCCGCTCTCCTGGTTTAGCCCTGGCGAACTGCTCTATGTGAGAAATCATATATATATATATATATATATATATATATATATATATATATATATATATATATATATATATATATATATATATATATATATATATATACTCGTTATAAAGTCGAGCCGGAAAACCATGCATTCCCATTTTGCTGCCCAGGTGAAAGCACCCGCTGCGAAGGGCCTGCTTTTTCTCACCCTCACTTTCGGTGTCGTGTAGACACGGATGAGGTCCGCGTTTGTTTTAGTCGCTCGATTCAGCTCACGCGTAGAAAACGTTTGGCGAGTGCCTCACGCGTCGTACGGACCAAATTATGTCGGCTACTTTTCCGGCGCGTAAACAATCTATAAGCCGTTCATTTCCACTAAGTGGTTTCAACCAGACAGTTATAACAGCAACAACGAAACTCTTCAATTCGAATGCAATTCCAAGAATTGGAATGGATCAATGTGGACGGTGGTCCCAGATGAATTCGCGTGCAGCAATCTAAATACACTATGGATATTCTAAAATCCAAGAACACAATCTTGCAAAGAATACTCTTTTCGAAAAATCTACAATTATAAAATGGAAGGGCACAGTACAAAGAGGTAGGATAGTGGAATCACGATAAACATAAACTCAAAAGCCTTGATCGATAAAGTAGACTAACAACTCATATGACAGAGCACGTGTTGATTGGTCGGTGGAATGCCAGGCGATCGTTGTCAGCGCACGAAGTGATAAAAGTTGGTAAGCTAACTAGGACCAAGGTAGAAGAAGCCCTTGCAGCAAAGCTTTCCATTTACATAATCCCTGTTGGGTTATCCTAATCACGATCGCTTCGACCAGCGGCTTTACGGAAAGGTATCGTCAGTCGCCCCAACGGTTCCAGAATGTAACATCTGGTGGAAAGCAGGCACCGGATTAGGATCGCTGATGCTTTCCAAATACTCTATGTAACATAGCCACGGTACACTAAAGGTCTTAGGAAGCAAATCTTACGGACGGCCGAAGCGATCGCAATTAGAATAATTCCACCGGAATTATGCAAACAGAAGACTACTGCAAAGGCTTCTTCTACTTTGGCCTTAGTTAGCTTAGCACTTCGTGCGCCTACAGTGGTCGGATGATGCGCATGGCATCCCACCGATCAATCAACACGTGCTCTGTCACGTGTTGTTCGTGGACTTTATTGATCAAGTCTTGAGTTTCTGTTTGTTGTGATTCCACTATTCCCACCTCTTTGACTTCATCAGCTATTTGTGCCCTGCCTTTCCATTTTATAATCGTATATGCCTGAGGAGATTTGTCGAAAAGAGTTCGCAAAATTGTGTTCTTACTACATAAAGTACTTTGATGACGTCAGCGGTCCTAATTTGGCATGCGCTTTCCACCAGATGTTCCAGGTTGGGATTGTTGGGGCGACTGACGATGCCTCTCCGTAAAGCCGCTGAGCAGTGCTCCGCTATGCGTTTAAACAGATGCCTGGTTGTGTCCCACGTACCTCGCACCACAGGCGCAGGTGAAATGATATAAGATGTAAGCTTGGGACTGAATCGGAAGTCTGTCTTTGACGCGTTATTGAACTGAACTAGTTGCTATAAACTACTTTTGTTGACTCACCTAAAGATGACAAAGACACTGAAAGTTAAAAGCCTGCTGTCATACGACAGGCAATAAATGTGTGTGCACAATTCAAAATAAGCAACTGTTCGACGAACAGTTCATGTGGTAAAATTGGCGGAATACTACATGGTAGCAGTTCAGGGATCGCTGGTTCATCCGATATATTCTCGTCTATCACTGTAAATAGTAAAGCGCACTTTCTTGCTTCTAAACGATTCGACCCCACATTCGCCCTAAGAGCCTGCGTGGTAAGTTACGGTCTAACACAGCGCAAGAATGAATATTCTTATATAGCTAATAAACTGGACAAACAACCTATTGCCCGAATTCAAGCTCACTGGTTGAACTAGATAGCTATTCTGGATTGAAGTCCCCTAAGAAGTATGTAAAATTCGTAGGAAAAGCCATGTATTTCACGCAAAAAAGACGAGAATTAGTGAAGAAACATCTGACCACACAGAGCAAGCGGAATCAAGAAAGTTCACTCGCGATACCTGTACAAGTGTCACACATGAAAATATGAAACTCTTGAAGTGTGTTCAAACAGCAAACTAATGGGCTTAGGATAGGACTATCATTTAGTTAGCAAAAAGATGAATCCGAAAAAAGCTTACGCGATTACGTCCGTGTAAACAACAGATGTCCAGGTAAGAAAGTATCAATCAGTCAGTTGAACAGAAGCAGCAGTTAATAGTCGCGCATCACTGGCACAATTAATTCTTGCTGCAAGTATCCGCTCGAAAACGCTATTGGTGTCACGGATAAATAACAGTCGAAATGTTCCCACAAAAAGCAAGCTCAGGATTTCTTATGTCTTGGTTTGCTTTTTTTAGCAGCAGATCCTAACCCGACTTTCAACTTGTTCCGTTTGTGCTTGCCAACGCCGACTGCCTTAAGAAGACGTCTGCGTTCCGCGGTAGAAGCCGTTTTTCCACGTGCGCCAAGCCCAGATCCCAAAGCCACATATGCATATGGTTCTGGCTGACCTGCACGTCGCATATCTCCCTCGGCTTTGGAAGAGGCGTAGATCCGTCCAGGAATAGATTTTACCGCCGAACGTTTACCTTTTATTTTCGTCGGGGTTCTGTAGTCTGACCAAGTGCCAGTGGCTTTCAGATTGTTGCCATCATCGTCGCTTGAAAGTTCGCCCCAATCTGATAGGAGTGAAAAGCATGAATTTGATCATTGCTTAAATTACGTCCTTGGGCTCAAGTTTTGAGAATTTCAGTAGGCAAGGAGGAAAAACATTAGGACGTATGTTTGTTAACATAAGAAACTCAGCACAGCAGGATGCCTAGCGCCCTATATTCGTCTGTAGCCGCAGGTGGTCACAACTATTTGTACCAGACAGAATTGAGCAGCATAGTGCTAATGATCTAGATAATCATGATACAATCAAGTTTTGCAAAATTCTATCTCGTGATCTGTGGTGGTTGCCGCTGCAGCACAAATGATCAAACACGTCCTGATTTCCACTCCATTTCCAAAAGGAAGAATGTGTGTACTAAGTGAAAGCATGGACTAAGGATAAGTACATGGAGAAATTCTTACCAATCTCTTGCGTCGCTCCCCTAGTCGTCCTTTCACCCCCATCGATCAGAATTTTCCCGTCAACAATTGGGAAAGTTGTGCTCACGGACTGTTTGGCCGTAATCTTACGCAATGCGTTCGCTGCTGCTCTAGCTGTCTTTGCATCTGTGGTAAAGGCCGTGTGACGAGCAAGCGCTTTTGGATCAGACAGATCGATAATATCGTCGGTGTCCGGCTGTTCCACGAGCCACAAACCAGGAGTACCCGAACCTTCAGATATGGCACGAGATCGCTTTCTCTTCGGCACACTGTCAGATATCATGCTGGTCGTGTCGGCAAATCGAACTCCACGTCGTATACCCTTCCTCTTCGTATCTATCGTGGCGAAGGTGCGGCCATCTACTTCAACGCCGTCATCATCACTGCCATCGGAGTCATTCACTGAACCACGATCGCGAAGCATACGCTTTCGAGAACGCTGACAGAGGCCAGCCGTCTCAGCTAAAGATTCCAGTTCTTCGGCCAAAGACTTTGGACCCAAAGCGGAAGCGACCGACTTCTTACTTCTTTTGTCTGACACAGCAGAACGGACTGATGTGGCACGCTGAGTTATTGGGATCTCCTCATCACTGGATGCGACCAAAAGCTCTTCGAAACTGAGAATATAGTGAAACAAGAGTGCATAATTAATAATCATTATTATATGTGTATTTCTCCTGATGCGAGAAACTGTCTGTGGCGGCACTGATCAATTTGTACAGAAGTATCCATGCTTTTGCATGGGTGACATGCATAAGTGGAATATTGGGGTATGCGTTTCATGTAGTTACGTTGAGGCATAAGCCTAGTTTTGAAAGCATTGTTGCTTAGATGTTTCTGGGCCCCTCTTGAAATATCTCATCGAAAGATTTTTCGCGGATAAATATAGTGATTATGGCATTTAGATCAAGGTACCTGGAGAGTCTGCTTCTAAATGTTGTCACATGATCTGAGATATTTGCTTAAGTAATTAGCAATGTTATAGATGCGTTTTGTAATGCTTTTTTGCACATAAACAGCGGCCTTGCTTTATACAACATGGGTTCTGTGTGTGTGTGTGTGTGTGTGTTATCTTCATGGCCAAAATATCCCCGTTGAGGGATAATTTTGGCCATAGTACGTGCCATAAAAGTACTCCCTTAAGGTCACAGAACTGCATCAGTTAACATTTTCAACAGCATTATAACACTATAGACCAGATCACTTAATAATTCTATCAAAAGCATTGATAAACATGTGGTACATTCCAAAGCAAAATGTGGACCAAAGTTAGCCGGTTTTACGGTACTTATCCAAATTTCATGAATGAGTGCTTGAATGCGAAAATTGCCGCACGGCAGATGTTTGATCCATAATGTGAGCTATTCGTGCACAAATATGTGAATTTGGCCTTCGGCCACAATTGTTAAATTGATAAAGCACAGCAAAAGATGGTGCTGCTCTTCTGTTTTCTCTGCCTGATGCTCCAAATATTAAACAAAAGATTCAGAAGCCAAGATCCAAATGGTAGAAAATTTTACTCAATGAAGAGTGGTCGCATTTATAGTTCAGCCGTACGTCTACGCCTTCCGGGTCATAGCTATGAAGTTTTGATTGGGTAACTGGTCATCTGCTCGCGTGACTAATCAGATGCTCACTCGGATAGCCGCGTTGTCAGGCCGTATGTAGGTGCTCGTTCGGCGCAATCACCACAAAACGGCAATTAAGGATGTGCAGTTTAAGGAGCGTATTCGTGATGAGGCTAATCTGTGAGTCTGAATTCTACCTGCCTTGAAGAGTTTCGCATCTGAGAGGCGCGCTTTGAAAAACGCAAAATTCCAATTTACTGAGCAGCACTGTCTAATATGGATGGTATGCGGTGCGCCGCTTCGTAATATTGCTTATGCGTGCTAAAGCTACTAATATCCGCTGCTACATATTACTGAGTGCAATCCTTATGAATTCGAGTGGTGGTGAACAGCCTAATGGTTCCGTAGACCAATGTGAGTGACGCGTTTTACTTACGACGGTATATGAACCCGAGGTGGGAGAGACAGGTGGGTGCGGCCAGAGATGCTTCTGACATTCTTGCGATGAGAATTGACAGCGCTCGTACTTTCTTTCAGACTCACGGAGCCAGCGGCACTGAGAGCCTTATTAGCACGTTCATTTGCGGTGGGCAATGCAGTCCGTCGACGTTCCAAGCGAGCCATGGTGCGGGCAGAGTTACGAACCACTTTTGCGTACTCCGGTGTCATCATGCCCTGCAAAGTCTTTCGGCTGAACGTAATGAATAGAAACAGAGATGAAGAGCATCAAGGTTACACAGACGTGAGTAAAGTAGTGAAACCACGTGGCATTGAACTAGGAAAGGCATATGCATGACCAGCATATACGCGGGTGTGATGATGCCGTCAGCCGAAAAGTGCAAGCTTGATTTGTTCCGACAACGCAATCCCAATAGAGAACACAAGGAGACGCACAGGCTTGAGTTACCCGAACCCAGGGGCAATTGAAGATTTGCCGATCGAGATCGTTAATAGAAATAGTCAAAGTCCTATCATAGCTGAACAACTGCAATTTTGGGTGAGTTATATTTAAAGTAGGTTAGACAGGGGCCAAATAACGAAACTGTATGGCCTTCACAACCAACCAATCAGAGCGAATGACAGGGTATGGTAATGTCTAGTAGCAAGATAACAATCGATAAGGTCGCATGCTCAGTAATATAACCAGAAAGTGCAACCTGTTGACAAAATTACCGACTTCCGAGTTGGGGCTTGGTAGGCCAAAAGTCACAACTCTTAGGCCGTGTCACATGCACAGTTAGTAGAAAGGTGTCACAATCACAGCAAGAAACAGAAGTTTGGGAGCATATGGCAGAGGGTTGGAAGCTGCACCAGGTACACATTCGTATCTCATTGTCGGAGCAATGATAATTGGATTGCATACGCTATCGACTTATTGAGCCACACTATAAAAGCGAACCGTTGCCACTTCCCCACTGTCTTTCGGACAGGTGTTTGAACAAAGGGCTTTGGTTAATGATTTGAGCGAGGGGGGCAATATCACAACTAACGTACAACCATTACTATTTCGTCAAACTAACCACATCTTGCATCGGCCGTCGCGCAAATTATCAAGAGCCACCTTGTCTGCTGCATACAGCACGACGGGCAAGCGAAAATATACTACTGCGGGCGCCTCCCTTCTTTCTCTTCCACATGTTTCTCTTACTGCCATCCTGACCCCCGTCACTAACCGTCCTATAATCCCCAGCTTGACAGCAGCTGCAATGCCACTGCAGATCTACCATCCGCAGATATCTTCCCCCACCACCCACTGGACACCTTTCGGCAACAAGTCCTCATAAGGCCATAGTGTCTCGCTTTCATGGCGGCGTTCAACGTTCGCACATCAGACAATTAGGTTGACAGGATGCACTGGTGCGCATGTTAGACACACAATATTGACATGTGTTGTGTCCGAAACCCGGATCAATGACCTTCAAATGGTTGTTGAACTAACTGTGCCCGCAGCCAGAAACGCTCATATCACTGGTCAAGCTGATGTGGGCATTCACAACTCCAGGGGAGAGTGGTCACTGGTTTATTCAATTTCCGTGAGCAGCTATTCGTGTGCAACCAGACATCAACGAAGATTGATTCACAGTGGCACTAGACGCCGTTTGTGGTTTCCGCTTATGCCCTTACCGACTGTAGTCCTGATGTTGCCAAGAATAGTTACCATGAAATGAACACGCTACTTTACAATATTACCAGTTAAGATTTCGTGGTTGTTCCAGGGGATATGAATGCACAAGTAGGTGACCCGAGTTCTTCACAAGCTCAGCTAGGTGGTACTTATGGGCTCAACTCCGAACTGACGGACAACATCGAGCGTCTGTTGCAACTGTGCGCGGAGCACCGGCTGTTTCTTAGTAGAACCGCTTTTAGACACAGTGGGTGCAGATATGCCACATGGTGTCCTAATATAGTTACCTAACATTGCACCCAAAAAGATCATGCCGTAAATTATACATGTCATGGTTCCATGCTTCATTGCCGTTTGTCCTAGAGTACCTACGTCAACTCCGATCATGCTTTGGTTCGCTGACGCTTTTCCATGGACTTAATCGATAGGTGCACAAAGTGCCTCTCTTCGATTTACAACTCAGAAATTATTTTACCTATCGGTCAGGTAAGCCTACCAGGATGCTCTGCATACCTAACATTCGCTGCATCCTACTAGAGACGCTGAAATACAGTGGAACAGGATCTCGGCCACCATGCACGATGCGTGACTCACTGCTGGCGGCACTATCAATGGTCACCGCATCCGTCGCTGGATATCCAAGAGGTCGGTGAACCTGTTGGAATCCGGAAAACTGCCTACCGGGTCTGCGCAATGTAACCAGACGGGAAATTGAACGCAACCTAATGCCGAGCCTGTGTGCAGACAAGTTACGGTGGACCAGTATTGTTCAAGAAATAGAGGGGGATATTGCTGTAGGCAATTATCGCAAGCTACTCTAACTGATCCGCACCGCCGTTTTCAAGAGGTTATTTGCCAGTTAGACATTAAGAGGGAGTGCGTGTGCGCGTACTCACAATAGGCAACACCATCTGGCTGGTTGGGTGGAGCACTTTCAAGATCAGTTCAGTTGGCCTCCTTTCTATACATTTTATGTGGGGTGAGCCATGGCGGGTTAGTTTGGAGGCTTCGTCGAAGACTGGAGTCCGAAACACGATCACAACCCTCTGTTGTTTTCGAGTTACTGAACCGGATTCCATTGCACCCGCACTGCTTATGGATAGTTGTGAGGTCCCCCGCGAAGCACAGATGTCCCTGTTCGAAGAGGTCTAGAAAAAGTGAGTTTCCGTCCAGGACAGGGATGTATAAACCACTCAGAGACACACGCCAGAACAGTATCACATGCATCGCAGACCAACGATAGCTGTGTGCCTCTGCTTCCAGGGTGCATTCGACTCTCTCGATCGATTTATTTTGTTCGAAATACTTGTGAGTAAAGGTGTCACTATATATATATATATATATATATATATATATATATATATATATATATATATATATATATATATATATATATATATATATTCTGCCTGATTAAAGACGATATGCCATCGGAACCATGATAGGGCCATCCAATTTCCTCACGATGCCGGCGTTGTGGTGCTACCTGGTGGGAAATGTATTCATCCTGAGTATGCGGAGGATATGTTTTGCCGTAAAAGGTTGACCTCTATACATTCCCCGACAATCAGACACAACAAGATAAACGGTTGGTAGCCTTAAAATCAGTGGAATACAGTCACCGCTTTTGAACGAAATTCAAATAGGATAAAGATTTCTGGGAAATTTGAGGTATGATGTGTTGTGAATTAGTATGGTGTATCTGATGTAATAGTCTGTGTTTGGGTATTACAAACCGACTTTTTTCAAATCCTTCGGCAATACCAAGCGCAAATATGCAATTAAATCGATTTTGATTATGGAAGCATGTGAAAGTATTGCAGACCCAACAAGCACCCGAGGTAGCATTTATGTTGGCTAAGTATAAGTGAGAGACAGCATACCTGGCGTTCAATTTGAAGAACGCTGAGGATAAACTATACATTTAACTCAAGATGGTACGTCGTGAGCAATGAAGTTTGAGGTGGACGCGGATGACCTACCCGAAGCGCTTGACCATCTTCTCCAAAATGGCCTTCACGGCGAATCGGAGTGGGCGTTTCTGAGTAGAGTGTAGAGACTGCAATGATTGCACCTATGATGAAAAATACATTGGGAAGTAAAGATTAGTTTTATCGTACGCTTGTTGGTAGAAGTCGAAAGTGATGGTTGATAATATGCATGAGAATACGCCTATGTCACTCGTTTGGTATTGGGTATAGCGTGTACCCTAAGGAAAGGAAGTGAAACGTAGACTGAGCATCGAAAATATACATCCACGCACAAGTGATAGCCGGTACTGTTAGGAATACTGAGGTTGCCGTATAATAGTCAAAAACCAGACATTAGGTAGCATCCGAGTCGAAAAGCGTTTCGGAATGGACGAGATTGCAGATATTAAACATAGAGACAAAAAAATACAATCAGAGCGGAAGGTGGCCGCATACAGAGTATAGGAAGGCGGTTAGGAGTCATGCCATCAACGACGAGATGGTGACGTATAGTGCTTAGTCGCAAGGCTCAACATCGATCAGTGCAAAATGTGAATCGAACCAGTGCGAAATAATCAGAAACGAGCTCGAAATATGGCTATAGACTATGTAGCAATTTCCACAGTTGTTCTGATGGACAGATGCTTGTCACCAGGGTAGCATATGAAATCGAGCAAACGAATAGAACCTGTGTTGAAAACAAGAAGTTGTAGAAAGTATAAATCAAACAACCGCAGAGGTGAATACAAAATTGGCGAAGTGACGTAAAAACACATAGCTAACAAACTACTTTCTACGTGGGCCTCAGTTAGGAGCTTTAGCTTCAAGAGACCGAAGTCGTAAGACAGGTGTTAAGCGGAACTTAGTAGGTAAATTCATATTTGATGTACTCATGAGTAGGGGATTTTGATGTAATTATGTGAGGCCCATCGCGCTATATCGCAGTTAGCTTGTAAATCATGACGGTCCGAAGCTGTCCCCCGTGGCCCAGTGGCATAAGCTGCTGACTGGCGGTTCAAGCGGCTGGTGGTCATGAGTTCGAATGCTGACGGATCCGATGGATGCGCACTACTGATGATGCCCAACAGGCTGAAACTGCAGTCTAGTGCTTTCCCGGGCATGTGGACGACTATCTGAATTGGAAACTGGCGGCGATGGACCTCACATTCATATTTACCGATCAAATAGTTCACCCAGATGAACCTATTATAATCTAAAGCCGTCAGCGTACAGTATGTGCGACGAATGGCCTGACACAGAGGTAGAACAGTTGCAGTATCCCGGTGACATGAAAACAGATGCAACGAATGGCAGCTGTCGTATATCAGTTAGATAGGGGTCGAGGGCAGTTGATCTCTGCACACTTGTAGACCTGAAGGGTCGGGTTACAAATTAGGCAGTACTATAGGCTATAGGCAGTGAGGGAAAGTCAAGTTTGTAAATGCTGAAAGCAGTGGAAAGCATAATGCGCTTGCGATTTGAATTCCACCTTCATTCCTTAGCTGGTCCATTTATAGTGACCCTTTACAAAATTGATATGGCCGGATACCAAAGATGTAGCAAACGAAATTCTTGGATCTTGCGTGTGACAAGCAAAGTGAAGTCATCGAGCCTAAATGCAATCCACGGTACTCTGCTGTGTATTGCATTGCACATCAGAGAGGACCGTCTCCAGAGTAGCAGGGGTTTGCTAAATAGAATAGCCGAAATCCCTTTATTGGATAACTTGACAAACGCAATTTCACAAATCGCATCATGTGCATATTAGCTGGAGGTGCGGGCGAACAACGAGAATTTGCGCGTCCTAATCAGACGGTGAGCTACTCGTGATGTTTGGCTACAAAATAAGCGACAGATTGATTCCACAGGCCTCAGAGCACCTTTGGTGCAAGGGAATCCACGCAGGCCCTTGACGTGATATGATCAGTGTGAGCATAGCGACACAATCATAGTGTGAGGCACAAATCTTTCTGATACGCATGGGAGATAACCACAGAAGCAGAATACAGTAGACTCACAAGATCAGTCAAACTTATGGAGGAGAACCCGACGAACGCCAGAAGTAATCGAACCAACTGCAGACCGAGACGAGCAAAAGGACGTTGTGGTGAACGTATCAAGAGCTGTGATATGATGTGGGCATTATTGAGGATGGCGGAGGCGTGCACACGTGTTTGAGCACCTTCATCATCGTCAGACTCCAAGACGAGTAGAAGTGACCGCCGAAACCGAAGATGTTTCAACAAGTGGCACATAACGCGCCCGGCAGATTCTTGAGCCACTAATTCTCCTCGGTTAGAGGCAACTGATGCTTGAGGAGGCAGACAACCCCAGAGGCGCGAAAGCATCAGATGGAGTGCGCTGCAAATCTGGAAAAGGTATCGATACGGGATAAATAGGGAACAAAACAGTGCAGAAGCTCGTAAGGAAAGGAATGCAAAAATTAAGGGATTCTGTTACGACTAGGTTGTGTAAGGGCAGCAGCAGTGGGCCGGTACGCGGCACCGATGTTTCGCTGCCGCGCAACTACCACCGTTGCGCGTGGGTAGCCCGGTCCCCGCGACCGCCGGATTACCAAGCAGGCTTGTGACTCTAAGCCACGGGTCGGGTTATATATACTTAAACTAAAAACAACGATGAGTGAAGTAAAACGTTCACTCTGGTAACGGCAGTAGGTGACCAATCACCCGATACTGACCACACCTGTGGTTGATAAAAATCATGTTCAGAACTACTTGCCATAGTGGCTATGTGTACTACAGAACGCGCGTGCCGGAGAGAGGTGAGTCATTCATTCATACAATATACACATTAGCAAGAGGTGGAAAACACAGCTATTGTGCCGCAATACAAAAGAAAAGAAGAGAAGACATAAAAGAGACAGCCCGGCTGAGTCGCCAGTAGTTCAGTTCACTTCAGCAACTATGATCCGAGCAATGATGTGCGGTGGATCCAGTTGCCAGGATTAATATCGCAAGAGTAACAATAAACAACAGCTGCAAGATATTGAGGCTAAAGGCAAAGAGAATGCAAAGAAAATGGAAAAAAGTAGAAAGAGCATTATACTGATCAGAATGGAGCGAAAATTAACAAGCAGATGCTAGAAACCGAATGCAGGAACGTCACAGACTACGCCATGTATGATATGGTTTCCAACCACTGGTACGTAGAATCCCGAGGCCCACAACTACAAAGACGTCACGCACCAGCCTGACCAAGTCTCTCAGTGAACATTTTCATGCTTCTACACCACGTCATGGACTGGCAACCAAGTGATTGCACCCAAGTTGATGCAACCACTACGTATAATGCACGCCAATGTAGCCGGTCAATGGGCAAACGCAAGACATGACCTAGCCAACGTAAACCATTAAGATTCAATAAAGACCCGAATGAAGCACCAGAAGGCTTCTCGCAAAAAACCAACTGGCGAACCTCAGCATTGCTCACGCGGTGTTCAAACCAGACGTGAGCAATACACTGCAAGCACCGGTGGTCAAAAACGGCCAAGCGTTTTATGTCTTCCTTACGAACTGACCAGGTCTCTGATGCACACAGTAACACCGGCCTTACCGCATCGTTATACACTCTACCGTACACTGACAGACTGATCTCCCGTCATCCCTGAAAAGTTACACCGGCCTTGCTGATACGCAAAGTAACTTCCTCAGTGATATCACCGCAAGAAGTGACACAGCTACCAAGGTATGTGAATCGAACAACCACTCCCAGTGGTTGTTTCCGAACAGCTAGAACTGGAGAGTGTAGGTCCAGTACTGTAACAGTACTTTGCACTTTGAAGCGTAAAGCACATGCCGAAGCGTGCAGGGCTACGTGTCAGTCTATCCAGTGGTGTTTGCATAGCAAGTGCTTCAGACCCGATAAGGGTAATGTCTTCCGCATACTCCAGGTATATCAGTCAGTCGCAAGGCAGAACTTCGACCCCAGAATAGTCTGAAAAAATCGAGTCATTCATGGTGATTCCGAGAAGAAAGTTGAAGATATAAGGAGATAAAGGGCAACCCTGGCGAACTCCACTTATCGTGGGGAACTCAGCACAGTTTCGCGTAGAACTTTACGCGGCCTCGGGATTCACGGTAGAGGGACTTCAGAATGGAAAGGACTGTAGCTGGCACGTCCTTTATGGATAGGCAGTTCCACCAGCTGGCGCGATCAACAGAGTCGAAGACAAATATTAAGCCAAGGAAAACCATTATAATCGGTCGTCTGTATGTATGTCTCTGTTCCAGCACTTGGCGAAGAGTAATTATGTGGTGAATACAACCACGACCAGGGCGGAAGCCAACCTGGCTTCCAGTGATGCGGTTCTAACGGGGACCAATAAGTCGCCGGTGAATGACACCCGTGATAAGTTTGGAGGTAATGGAAACAAGGCTACTACCTCGATGATCTTCGCACAAAGTACACTGACCTTTCTTGAAGAAGAGCACGACAGTTGACTGTCGCCAGTCAGTGTTCTAAATCGTGTTAAGTAAAGATGGAAGAAATACCAAAAAGGAATCAGCACCACCTTTCAGCAAACATGGAGGATGAAGGTAGACTGGTCCAGGAGCTTCGTTTTGTTTCAACGCAGCGAGTGTCTATGGTATCCATTCCAAAGTGGGACGTGTGACATATACTTCCCACGTCGGCTCTTGTGATTCGGAAAACAGCACTGTCAAATTAGGCCTGCTGGAACTGCTCTTCAAAGTGTTTCGCCCAATGGGGTAGTTGACATGGTTGAAAAGGAACCAGATGTCACCAGTAACGGATACGCATCGTTCCGGAGAGCCAACAGTCGGCGATTGTGCCGCAAAAAACAGTTACATTAAGCTTTATAAATGAGATTATGATGGGAGGGGGAGGCTAAGCGGGAGGAGAAATGACAGACAAATTCACAACATAAACACTACTGAGTCGGCTCCAACTCATGTGAACAAGTGCATCCAGCCAAACATCCACTCCGGTAGAGTCTGAGAGAACCGAGTCGTTCATGATCATTTCCATCACGAAGTTCTAGAGGAAAGGAGATAGAGGACAACCATGGCGAATCCCACCACTTCGACCGGTGGCCGAGTAGTCTTCACGCCTGGCTTGAATCATAAAGTCGCCGGTTCGAATCCGCGTAGGGGCGGGCGTCCTTGTGGTATAATCAGTCCACGAGCGACTGGTGGTGGTAGCGCAGCAGCAAAGGGCCGTTACGGCCTACAGCTGACGATTTATTCTTTTTAATTATTTATTTTTAATTCGCGGCATCTGCACGAATGACATTTTAGTAAATTGGAGTGATGGTCCCGTGCTTCTACATAATGGGGACTTGCGTCTCATCGACACACCGATGAAATAGCTTGGCCAAGTGTTTGAATGAATTCATCGCGGCAATCTTCTATACCAATGGGCAGAGTACATCTGCACCAGATAGATTGTGCTTGCACAGAGAGAGAGAGAGAGCAATCGCTTTAGCACACTCTTGGAGGCAAAAGATGAGGTATTAAATCCTAATGTTGGCATGATCCGTGTAAGTAGGCTAGTAGATGACGGTGCGCCTTGGATCAATAGTATTTACCACGTGGTTGAGTCGAAAAGACCGATTACTGACTGTGTTAACGGTGTTCGCTCATGTAGAAATCATATCAGAAATCATATGAGGTTGTCCCACTTCTACGCCGCGGCGCTTGAGAGTCTACTAGACAATCTATGTCATAGGAGAGTTACTCCCTGAAATGAATAGGACGGGCTGTGGCCGCCAACAGGTTGAGTGGAGGTGCCAATGAAACCTCATCATGATGCCCCAATCACGCAAGCCTTTTTTGGAAAAGTTTCATGTAGGAAACCATGCTACATGATAACGAGATGAGTAAATAATATTTGGTCAGTGTTGATCTCTAAAAATACGCATGCACAGTATGTATACCTCCCTATGACAAGGACTTACATTAAGGCACATCGGGCTTGCAATCGACCTGGTGGACCTGAGGTCATCGCCATCTGCACACGTGAAGCGCCCAAGCGACGACGGTTGACCGACTGACGTACCGTCAGAACCGCCGATGCTGCTGTTATCATCATCAGTTTCGTCTCCAGTAGGAAGCACCTGCTTGTAATTGCGGGTGCTACGGAAAATTCCAGAACCGACGTCAGAAGCGGGTATGTTCGATGACGCCTCAGCGGCACGCCCAGCGAAAGCGAGAGTCAACTGAACGACTAGTCGATATGCAAGAGTTCGAACTACTCGATTGGCTTCACACACTGCAGCAAGGATCTGGATCATAAAAGGAAGTGGTTGGAACACGACGGTGGGTTATGACGAACCAGATGATAGTAGACAGGGAGCAGATGAGGGCTTAAGCTAAGTGTGTCCAGGCACACAATAGAAGAAATGAGGGTTACGCACATACACGGGTCGAAACTCAACACAATCCTACATAAGACATCAAGCATGTGGTGAAAGTAGTCGAAAAACTGAAATTAAAAAGCCGGCTGTTTCCATAGTAGGAGACAACAAACGATGAAAAAGTGATCCAGGAAATTAGTACACTTGAGTACAGTAATCCAGCCGGCCCGTGACCTTAAGAATCTCACAAGCCTGCCTTGTAATCCAACGGGGCGGGTTGGAGCCTACGTAGGGACCGGGCGACCCCCGCGATATACTTGGCCCACATGTGACTGGTGCTGGTTGTGCGGCAACGAAGCGCCGGTACGCAATACCGGCGCACTGGTGATGCCATTTTATCCAACTGTGAACGCAGAACAAGTGTGATAAGTAGAAATGCCGCCTCTCAAATTCATCAGTACGGTGAGTAGAGGAAATGAGAAAACGAAAAGGTGAGATCGGAAGAAAGTTGCAAATGACCGAAGAATTTGGATAAAAGGTCCAAAACGAATGCATCGAAACGAGCAGGTGTCTGGAAATTTTCGGGAAAACCGAAGTTGCATGGGGGTTTGTTACACTCAACCGAAATCAGAACAACAGTATTGTAAATGGAAGTTTAGTAGAAGTAAGGGCAATGGTACATCGGCAGTCCACACTGGGTAGACATCAACTGCTTAGTTCTGTAGTTCACACGTTTTAGCTAAGCACACTCTTTTGAACCAATCAATAAGCGTCACTGGCTTGTCGGGAGATGTACACTCACGCACTAGCACGCACAATGCGGCTCCACAGGCTAGGTAGTGTAACACGACCATGACGCGCTCAACCTATGCATCACTTCTCCCACCTTTAGTTGGAGCTATCCAGCCTGGAAACGATCGACCGGTCGGCGTCGGCGCTCAGAGCGCCGCAATTGTGACTCAACTACCGGTTCAGCGTCACGCACGTGCATGTCGTTCGATGCTTGAGCCGGCTGCTCTGTCTCGGCAACTGTTTCTGTGCCGGACAATCTCGGTCGCACATGATCAAAATGGCGTCGAACGATCTTGCCATCCTCAGTCTCTGCTTCTATTATCTGGCCGTTAGTTGTTTTAACGACGGCTGGCTCGCACCCCGAGCCTGTAGGTAAGCGGATGTAGATGGGATCTGAATCTGTCACATGCTTGTCTCTGCTACAAGTATCAAAACGCTCTTTCACTCGTTGTTGTTTTTCCGAAACTTGTGGCTCAATAGATCCATGCAATAAATCCAATTGTGTACGCAGTCGACGACCAAGCATTAAATCTGTGGGGCTTCCGCCTGTGGTCTCGTTTGACATGTGGTGATCTATTTACAAAACTAGATTTGAGTCATGCCTACCAACAAATTGAACTCGATGAGGAATCACGTACGTACACCACCATCAGTACTCATTTCGGATTATTCCGCTATATAAGCATGCCTTTTGGCATAAGCTCGGCTCCATCTATTTTGCAACGTCATCATCATTATCATCATTACACGTTAGCAGGAGGTGGAAAACACCTCAGCTATTGTGCCGCAATACAAAAGGCAAGAAAAGAGAAAAAACAAACAGTGGCACGCCCGCTGAGTCCCCCGTAACGGATGGACATCGTTCCGGAGAGCTAACAGCTGGCTGCCGTAAAAGAAAGTCATATTATGCCTAACGATTGAGATCGTGATTGGAGGGGGATGGACAAAGGAACTCACAACACAAACGCCATTGGGGCCGGCTCCTAGCCATATCAGCAAGTGTGTCCAACCAAACGTGTTCCCCGTCCTTAGGACCCCAACCAGGCAGTCCGGATGCACCAACCGACGCCAACTTCGAAGTGAGGGTTTTCATTTCTCTCGACCAAGTCATCACTTGGCCTCCCCTCCTCCTCTTCCAACCGCACCCACAACGCGCAAACAATGCACGTCGTGGGAGTCGGTGTGCTGGCATGCGCAACACGTGGCCCAGCCATCGGAGCCTGGTGCGTGATATAATCGTGCTGAGCGGTTCACTCGCTCTTCCTGCACTAAATGCGCGACGCCGAACACGCTCATTGCTCACGCGGTGTTCCCACCAGACATGAGCTAAGCTGCGAAGGCAGCGATGATCGAATGTGACGAGTCTCTTCATGTCTGTCGGCCTGATGGGCCAGGTTTCACAGCCATATAGGAGAGTTGAACGGACGGCTGCGTTGTAAACTCTGCCCTTGAGGGCGAGAGTAATGTCGCGTCTGTGCCACAGGTGGTGGAGATTGGCAAAAGCACCTCGTATTATTGACTCACTCGTGAAAGATATACCAAACACAAGTGCGTACTTAGATGACATTTTAATTACTGGACGTACTACCGCCGAGCACTTACATACATTGGACGTCGTCCTGAAGCGGTTATCGGATGCCGGTTTGGTTCTAAAAAGAGAAAAGTGTGAGTTCCTTGTTCCGAGTGTACAGTATCTGGGCTATCAGTTGTCACGTGGAGGATTGTGCCCACTGGAAGAAAAGACAAAGGCGCTACTTGAGGCGCCAGCACCCAAAAATGTTCATGAATTGCAGTCGTTCCTCGGTGTTGTCACTCAGTTTTCCAGGTTTATACCATCGGCAGCAACTCATCTGCATCCCCTTCACCAGCTGTTACGTAAAAACCAAAGCTGGAATTGGAACAATACTCATGAAAATGCATTCAAAGCGGTCAAGAAGCTCTTAGCATCTACAGATGTTCTTGTGCATTATGATCCGCAGAAGCCTGTTGTTCTTTCTTGTGACGCGTCACCTTATGGTCTCGGAGCTGTTTTAATGCACAAATTACCGGATGGCTCTCAACGTCCCATTGCTTATGCTTCAAGAATCCTGACACCAGCAGAACGGAACTACTCTCAACTTGATCGAGAGGCAGCCGCTGTCATCTTCGGCACCACTCGATTTCACCCATATTTACTCGGGCGACCTTTGGTGATCCATACGGATCATAAACCTCTTGTTTTCCTCCTCGGCCACGAGAAAGGTATTCATCAAATGGCTTCACCTAGAATGGTACGTTGGTTGTTATTCTTTCTGCGTATACATACGAAATTCAGTACGTTCCAGGCAAACAGAATACCACCGCTGATGTTCTTAGCCGGCTTCCCTTACCAGAGACACCATCGAAAGAATTTATCCCACCTCCGTCGCCAAATTGTTACACTCAACCGAAATCAGAACAACAGTATTGTAAATGGAAGTTTAGTAGAAGTAAGGGCAATGGTACATCGGCAGTCCACACTGGGTAGACATCAACTGCTTAGTTTTGCAGTCCACATGTTTTACCTAAGCACACTCTTTTGAACCAATCAATAAGCACCGCTGGTTAGTCGAGAGATGGACACTCACGCACTAGCACGCACAATGCGGCTCCACAGGCTAGGTAGTGTAACATGACCATGACGCGCTCAACCTATGCATCAGGGTTGTCAGAGAAAGTTGCGTGAAACAAAAAACGGCCCGGTGAAAGAGATAGAACGCGTCTCATACACATAACTCACAACCGAGTGCTAAAAGCTGCAAGTGGCCCAATACGCAAGTACACCTGAATTTCATGCCCTATATTATGCAGAGCATACAGCGCGAAGTCGATGCACGAAGCGGTTCAGCAGCCAATAAGTTGTCTGGCTTTTAGGTTAAGAAAAAGCACATTGGAAACAACAGAAAATGGAAGATCCGGATGAATGAGTTTCAAATCCGACTAAGCAGATAAAAAGGAAGTATACTTCGAGATGCACGTAGACTCTTGAAGTGCGCAAAATGGTATCTGCAACGTTACAGCTTCAACATCCTATCAACGCTGAGCGATTAGTAAGAAGCGGCTGGTCGATGTAATTATTTGCCCGTGAAGTTGGGGAGGGGAACACAATAACAATGACAAGAGACAGGAAGACAAAACAATTCACTTCAGACTATGGTGCCCCCACCAAAGTGGACATTCATCCGTTTCATATTGCTAAGGACATTTAAGGACAGCAACGGAAAGGCACAGAAATGACATCTGGTGTTCGCAACCATGGCACCCCGCTATGTTCCGCAACACATCAACGCACTGATGATGTGAAACGTTTGAAACACGAATACCAAGCTCAGCGAACAGTTTGTCTAGCAAAGACATACTGCTAAACTCACTGGAGTGGGTTGTGTGTAATCTGGGAGAATGCAGCGTGGAGTGGGGAAAACTACTGTTCAGAACAGAAGAGCATAACCCAGCAAAAAGAAATGAAAACGGAGGTAATTCGATTAGGTGAAATTAATCGGTTCCTACCCTGTGCCGCAGTGTGGTTCCAGGAACCAGCAATCTTTCTGGTTCTTCATACCACACTTGTTGTCGCCTATCAGATAATAAGGTCACGCCTGGTAGACGATCAATGTTGCGGGCTCGTTTGAAGAGGCGTGGCTGTCCAGTTCCCCATATCAACTTACCCACCTAAACGGTAGGAAAAAAACAAGCATCAGCAGCACGCCGGTATGCAGTACCGACGCATCGCTGCCGCGCAACCACCACCAGTCGCGCGTGCGCTAAGGACACAGCGAGGGTCGCCTGGTTCCCTAAGCAGGCTCGAACTCGCAACTTCAGGATTACAAGGCAGGCTTGTGGTTCTTAAGACCACAGACCGGTGATGTTTATCGTTGGTTAGTCTACAGCTGGCAATGTATCACTATAAAAAAGGATGTAGGATCTGCAGTGACGTCAAGGCCCGAGACACTACAAATGCGCTTTGCCGGAATCGTTGTAGTGGTCAATGTTGTAACATAAACTTAATGGCTAAGCGTGCTAGTAATTATCCTACCTCCGGAAGAAACATGTTTGCAAACTCTCGCAACCGAGGGTTTTCGAGGGCGGTAGAGGGATCTGAGATGACTTCCTGTTCCTGAGTGACAAGCTGTATCAAGAGGTGATGTAGACAGCGGATCCGCGGCTTCCATGGAACGTTGGTTCGTGCTCTCTTGTTCCCCTTAACCAGGTGGTGGTCCGTCGCGACGTTGGAGCCGACGAAGGACAGCTTGGCTAAGTGGCTGGATAAGTCAGGTGCATCACTGGACCCACTGAGATCCTCTTTAGATGGCACATCCAGAGGAGCATCAAAACCACTGGTCCTGGTGACTGTGCCGGCCAGTAAATGTAGCCAACAGAGTAACTGGTTCAGGTGCTCCTTCAAATACTCCTTGGATGACGGAGTGGACCCAAGGCAAATCAGCTCCAACAGCCGATAGGCTCGTTTCTGTAAGGTTCTTGAAGAGCTCTGGAAAAGAATAATCGTTAAAAATTATCAACAGGTTGGTTGGAATAGAAAAGCAAACTTATGAACTCCGCTGCAAGCCGCACTCGTAAGATAGGTGGTCCTTCAAGAATAATTGTCGTCCCATATTCAAAAGAACCCAAAAAGTGAATAATGACTCTGTCCAAAGAAGATTGATGGATGGGTGCTGAACAAACACTCCACCGACAGTCAGTGTCCAAGCTAAGGTCATACCAAGATATGCGGTAGCGTGAGTGACTCCGCGATGCAAGTTCGCCATAAGGAAGATCACATAAATGATCGCAAAACGAAATAGTGTTGGACGAGACGACTTGCTTTGGTGAACCGATTGGATATGTACCGCTGTCTAACTATGGGAACTGTCGTGTGAATAGGCTGCTCCAACAGAACCCCAGTACATCGCGGCATAGAATAAAATGCACCCGAAACAGCCGGTCGATTGGCCACACTGGTGGTCACTAGGACGTGTCCAAATCCCGTGTACACGCATCTTGCAGCCAAACAGAGGTGAATCGTACAGACTGCTATCGGTCGCATTAGGTATAGTGGTCCGTCTATGCGGCCACATTGATTTGCATACAAACTCCCGCCACGTTCCAACCAGTTCGCTGACCTCTTGTTTGACCGAGAAAGACGATTCCTTTAAACGCACGACCTCAGTGCATTTGATTGTGCTGGGAGCTACTAAAATATAGAGTTACTCTGTGGCCACCGAGCATTCTGTCTATTTCGTCGATCCCTCTATGCGGAAGAAGTTCCTGAAGTAAGGTCGATTGGAGCACAAGAGAAAAGCGTCGATGAAGATCGCGCGATGCATCGCACAGTTATGCACAGAGCGGATTGCACGTGCTTTACTATGTGGAACCAGTGGCTCAAAACAACCAAATGGGCACCGGAATACCACGTTGTTCATTCAACGACCGGCTTCATCCCCCTGCCCTTGGCTGGATCGCAGTGATGAAATAATGAGCGGTAAACAATGGCTGGTAACATAAAGCTAGATTCGAAGCAAATAGGTTTTTCTGTGCAGTTCAGAAGTTACAAAGACCTATATGACCACCTTGTAAAGTGAAAGAATCGTGGTGTGACTCACTGTGAAATAATCATTTAGGTTGGTGAGGAACGAACTGATCTCCTCGGCGCGGGTATGCGGAACCAGTATTTGTAATATTTCCAAGTATACTGGACTAAAAAGAAAGGCGCAAACCGGTAGATAAATAAAGGTGCAACAGCAGTGGACAAAGAGAAGGTTCCACGAATCAATGTATATGGTAGGGGACACGAAATGGCGTGATATCTAATGAATAATTGCGAATAATGGAAGTAATGCGTAACTGCTCATCATCATCATCATAATGATCAACAACAAGGTACGCCGATACTTTGCGAAGCTGCTTCTCTATCGGCTAACAAGCAAACAGAAAAGAACGGATGAACAGGAAAACTAAAGATAAAAGCAAATAATGCGGCAATTTTCAAGATCAACGTATCTACAAAGTGTCAGCGGTACGACGTCACAAAAATCATGGCTGGCACGCGAAAACAACACATCACAAGTGAGACAGCATTATTACAGCCTTTACTGTCCCATGGCATAATTGGTCTCATCCCAGAGATAACTCCGTACCACAGACATTCTAAATGGATAGTCCGCCTGGTAGACGACAGCGTAAGGTTGCAATGTATGAGCTACAACGACTCAGGCCAGGCAGAGAATGTGGAGACGTCAATCTGAAAAACAAGAAGAACTCGTCTGGTGCTCAATAACGTCGCTTTCCGTAACCAGGTCAATCGGTGTCACTGTGGAACTTTGTGCCATACAGTGTCATGTAGATGCAACGAAGGTCTTCTCGACAAGCAGTGAGTGGACAGACGTAACACGCTCAAAAGACAACGTAACTAAACCAGTCTGTCTGGTAAACACCACCTAGTACTTGCTTGTGTACTGCATGGTTTCGAACGCACTGTTAACAACCCACACAAGCGAAACTCTTTAAACAACGAGTGTTAAGGACATGAAAAGGACCGAAGTATTTGGTCTCAGAGGTCTGTTACACAAGGTCAGTAAGACCAGGGTTAATCCACACTTGGTGACATCAAAAGTGTCGCAAGAGGATAGTGAGGTCAGTTCCACTTTTCCAAACATGAGTCAAGATCAGCAGTCATGCAACTGTCGATGCTGAGGAATCAACCAATAGCTGTGACTTCGCTAACTACCTTTAAGTCCCCACCGTCCTGTATCTGAGTGAATGTAAGAGGCTAGTAGCTCTGGTTGAACTTTGCATTTTGAAGGCATAAGGTGCATGTCAAAATATGGACTACCATGGGATGTTTATTTCCTAGTTTCGAGATTACCGTACATCGAGATGTCGTCTGCACAATTCACACCGACTGGGATTCCACGCAAGTTCCAGCTTGACGCTGAAGCAGAGGATAAGAGTGGAGAACAAGAACAGTCACTAGTGATGCGACTGCACTCCCTGATCCTCGCAAATGTGCTCGATCCATATCAGCTAGCTGCGATGGTCTCCTCGTTCCACATCTATTCGAACAGGTTAGACGATCTCTTACAGAACGCTTCACCACCGCCGGTAAACCAAGAGCACAAGGAAAATCTATACGAGAAGCGCGGGGGAACACGAAGAAAGGTGACAACATTTTAGACCTCAGTAGACATGACCTGCAAGTTCAAGTCGCAATATCAGAACGTAAGGAGGTTCGGAGGAAGGAGGCAAACAGAACCGTTTCCGGATTTGTTCCGCTTATCCACTAGCATGGCGTTCCATGTTTAAAAAATGCTTTTGGTTATCATACTAACAGATGAACACATGGAACAGGTGAGGTGGATTAATTCGAAGGGTTTACGATAGTTAAGCACCGCTCCTGTCTCATTTATTAGTTGAGCCAGGTGAGTCCGCTACCCTTTTAAGACCACATGGTCATGTTCAACATGGTGCCTCATGACCCATGTAATCGCAATCTGTACCGTTTCAGTGGGATTCATGCTTCTGCATTCCAGAAGGTTCACCGATTTCCCGGAATTCATAGGTTCAATGGAATAACGCCAGAAGCATAGGTTTCTGCACCATAAAAATCTTATTGTATTGAGACTTGATTACTTAAGGTTGAGGTAAATGCGTAGCCAACAAGGTAATACACTACGCGTCTAATTGCAAGGTGCAACAGCATCCTTGTGGCCGGTGACGGGACGTGTTGCTGCGCTTCTAGTAGAATGTCAACCAGTTGGAAACGGACTGACGCATTATCAGAGTGGCACTGTGTGCTCTAAAACGATCAGCAGTTAAGGATGGAATTGTACAAAGTTGAGATATATAGTGACGTGATCTGTGTGCGCTCGCCGACGGTCAGCGGTTGCGAGATGCCAAGCGGCAACAAGCGGTCAGAGTTAAACCCATCTAACTGAAAGGCGATAATATTTCCTACAAGTAGCAATGCTAACTACCGTGTTAAGTCGACGAGAGAAGGAATGTGGCAGTACCAAGATGAAATCGGTAGAAACAAGAGAGCGGCCATGAAGATCAGAGATCTATCGCTGCCGCATAAGCTTGCCATAAACTGACCACGGGAAACTAGGCAGAACAAACTTGTTTGTGGAAATCCAATCCATCGGCGATAAAACAGCCCAGATCGATTTGGCCTGTGGTCGGTGTAACAGCATCTCCGGATTTGAGCAGCCAACAGATAGAAAAGAAACTGGGTGCAGTTAGCTCGACAAATACGTAAGAGTAATCTGGTATCCAGTGTGTGTGTGTGTGTGTGTGTGCGTGTGTGGAAGCTCAGCTTGGGGACCTAGCTGCTTCAAGTCAGACAAGTGAAATGCTAACAAAGAAATCGGGAAACCTGGCAAGACAAACGGGTCTTGCATACCCATGACATGCATGCCAATGGTCAAACTTTTGTTACTACACTTGCTCCATTTAAAGTTTATCAATGGAAAGTTGAAAGAAGTAAAAATGGTGTGTACGCAAAAGGAAGATCACAATAATAGTAGCCTAGAATCAAAAGACAATTAGGCGAACAAGCTTGTTTTCGGTGGTTCGCATCAGGCCAACACACCACAGAATAATAGGAATAAAACAAACACAGTGTATTTAAATACGATGAATCAATGAAGTGAATTGACCGGTTAATGCGATTAAGTGACCACACTGGCTTGGGCATCATTAGTGGAAAGATCAAGCGTGGTGTCGTAACATGAGGAAGCTTGAGGCCATGGCAGCTGTAGAGCCTGTACAAACTTCTTTTGGGCACATAATTCGGGATTATGGAGCCGAATAGCGATTGCTTCCGCTTTCGCCAATACTCGACATAGGACGGCTCGCGTGCGGCGTCCAGATATCTTGTAGATGAGTCGGAAGGCCTCTCGCACATTCACTTGGTGATTTGTGTCCGCCAAATTGCCCTAGCACCGCGCTGACTACTGTCTTTCTGACACCAGTGTAGAGCCACGCCGGGCAGTGTTCTCGTACTATCTCAGACAGTCTCCTGGCCATCTTCTGAACAAGCTTCCTTTAAAACATAGAACAAACTATACCACTCCTGGTTAGTCAGTAATGGCAGTCCTCATCGCAGTGGATCAACATCTCGCAAAGTACAGAGCAATTGAGCAACAACAACAATTGAGCAATAGGCAACTATGATCGGAGCAAGGTGCGGATATGTCAACTTTAAAGACGCGTCGCCGCGGTGACTAAGGACAACTTACAGGTAGAGTGAAGCGCTATCTGGGCAATATAACTCTAGCGGGAAACATTTCCCAATAAAGTTAGAAACAAGTGACTGGGTACGAGGAAACCAAAAATTTGTGAATGCTCCACGTTTCTCCAGGTATTTCCACATTGATGTGGAAGAGGTGGGAGGCCCTCGCCCAGGAGAACGATATGCTACACTCAGTTGAGTGTCTCGGTCAATTAGTTCACGCTTCTTTGCCACGTTCTGTTCCCGTCATATTGGAGCTTCATTCACTTAAGCGGTCTCAGTGGCAAGACTCAAGAAATTTGGAACTAAATCCGGGAACGTACAGCTTGCACGCCAACCTGCTCGTTGACTTGACTGTTTGTGGAGAAATTACTAACCAGGGAGATGAACAAAGCGACTACACCGATATTAGTAGGAAGTGGTGGTGTGTCGGACCAGTCTTATAACAGTTAATTTCAACCCAAAGGTGGAAAACGCGTGTGAGGGCGTGAAGTGCGTTAGTTTAAACAGGAGCGCTTTCTCTGGTGGCTGCATCGTATGAGCATCTGTCATGTAATGTCCTCCGGAAATGAGAAATGGAGGCTGGAATGCAATACAAATCTGTCTGATCAGAAATAAACATACTATTTATAGAGCAATCTATGCTTTGGCTAGCAATTCCGAGTTGGTCTCCCTTGATCGAAGTGCCTCTGGCGGAAAGCTAGCAAATTCGTGAATTGAGTCGATCGATCGTATAGGTATACAAGACGATAAGCGCCCACGGATATAAGCGTTGTGGCTCAGCTGGTGGCGAACAATCGATCACAAAGGGCCGCTTACGTGTTCGTTCCGAACGCATTGGCGAATGTCAACAATTACCAGTACAATTCCCTAACCATTGTGCCCTTCGCTCAACGAGCGCCAGAATAATATGTGGTCCGGGTGAGCTGGAACATTGCACCGTTGCTCTCAAAGGCATTAAATCTCCTCATTTCGAGGTTATACACCGACACGCAAGGTTATTTTTGAGTTCAATGATGAAGCGCAATAGTAATGTTGTAAACGATGGGGTCATTTTACGCGCTTAATCAAGCCGATTTCAAACGGAAGACGTTCGTCCACAATTTGGACAGTCCAAACCGGACGAATAAGTGGCGGCAACAGTTGTCTCCCCTACATGCAGTAAGTGACTCCGAGTGATATACATTTCATTCATCTAGATCGTCAGTGATAGGTGAAGACCCAAGTTGGTACGACACTGGCATTTTCGCGGACTGCGAGGTAGCTGGAAGTAAGTAGGCTTGATAATGAACGTAACGTTGGCTCCGTTAGCTCTTCGCATGCATACATCAAGACGTATTCGAAAGCAGGATCACAAGCAAAAAGCAGACTGTCAATCTTACGCTGATGTGTAGTTGCTAGCAAACGGTCAATTTGGAATTAGAGAATAGTCTCTTACGTTGGGCTTCAGTTGACGCGATGCGAACATTTGTGCTGAAGATGCAAGGGATTTGGACTGCACAATTCAGTTCAGTACAGTTGAACAACTAGGATCCGAGCACTGCAGTGCGGTGGGTCCAGTTACAACGACTCATACGG